GTCATTTACTGAATAACTACATATTTCAACAAGGAACTTGATAACCAAAGCAAATAGGCAAAAACTTTTCAGAAACTAAAATGTTTGATAACTTCATCTACGATGTTGGAATTCCAACCTACCTTTTTCACAATATTCTCCAGAGAAACCGTTTTCACAGAGGCATTCAAACAATTTGTAATTTCGCTTCGTTCGAAAACAAGTTCCCTCGTTGTAACATGGCGTAGAAGAACAAGGCAGCTTCTATCGGTAAAAAAAATTATACACTAAGATGATGATTTAAACAAAATGAAATAAACATTTTGTTAATGAAAAGAAAAAAAAAGAGATTAATTTTGGCGGTACTTTCTTACTGGGAAGTAGTAGTGATGTGAACTCTCGTTTTGGTAATACTTCTTTGGGCTGTTCTCCTTATCTGAAGAAAGTAACTCACACCACTGTTCTCCTTATCTGAAGAAAGTAACTCACACCACAGCTTTTCTTCAGCGGCCAGGTTTACAGACAAACAGAGAGGATGATCGACGCAATTAAAAATGCATTCAAGGTCGTCGTATACCATGAGGACGTCAATTTGAGGCACATCCAGATAATGAAACTTGTCCAATGAAAGTAGACCGTCTCTGGAATTCACTGATTCTGTCGGGTCAAAATAACATATTAAATGTGTTAATGTGTTATGTGTAAAAGAAAAAAGGTATATAGCCTGTATAGCGAACAAACAAAAGCAAACAACTCAACAACTCGCCCACTCACACACACACGCACAAAAAGAGAAAAGCTGGGAAAACCGCCAGAGAGCAATAGAAAAGCAACAGAATAAAGGAATTATTTCATCAACCTAGTCCAGCGCTGTTAAACATATTCCTATAATGCACGCCGGTAAAATAAAACGAGACTATATCGAAAGCGCAAGCTGAATTCGAAAACTATGAATAAACAAAATAAGGCATTGCTTTAAAACAGTGGCTTCCATGTTCAATAGTATGCTAAGGAATATCCAGCATTCTTTGACCCATACTTTTGAGTTATTGTTATAAGTAATAGCAAAAAGTTTAAAGATAAGGACAAGAAAGCTTTAAATACGTTACTTATTCATTTCAACCTTAAGCATTTCAACCCATCAGCGCCCTCAAAATCAAACTAGTTTTTTTACTTGTTTGGAGGCTATTGAATAGGCTCGACATATTTCCAATTCATTCATTTACTCGTTTTAATGTCATCTTCAACCATGGTGAAACTTTCATGCTCTGGTACGAGGGTACAATCTAGTTGAATGACAATTAAATACTTTCTTAATAATCATAATACACTCCCGCAATTTTCAGCTCTCTGTATTTATGATTAGTTTGATCTATATCCTTCCCTTATAGGACGGGTTTATGAACCAAAAAATAAAACGAAGGCAATAATGATGCAGTGAATGCAAACACTATGTATTTTCATCTGTCGAGGCATCTTCATATCTTACGAATAGGGAAATAATCAGCGTCACCCTTGATATCATGAGATGAGGACTTTACTTACCTTGTGAACAGACAGCCCCGAGTATCACTGAACAAAGCCCCGCTGAAAAGTAGATCAAGGCGAAGGACATGCCTTAAAGTTAATAATAAATATTCACTTCTTTGGAGTTTCAATAAAATTTAGTCTTTTGAATTCTTTAAGCAACTGTTAGCGCTCGTCAGCTCTGTGTTTCAATAAAGAATTTACAATTTTTCGCGTAAAAAAAATGATGCAAACCAACAGCGTCCTCTGATGACTGAAAAAAAGCAGCAGAAGGATATTAGAACCCTCAGAACCTTTTATGTTACTTTTATGTTAGTTATTCTTTCTGGTGAAAGAACATACTTTGCATGTGACTGTTGCTAGCGTAACGAATCAAACACATTGATAATGCAAGGTTAGCCCCCGGAGTGAATCACTGGGGTAGAATTATTTGTTTGTGCGACTTTTTTTGAAACCTTATTAAAAAGCAAGAAAAGTATTTTAACCTTACAAAAGATCCCTGGCGTTGTTAACTTGGCTAGAGGAAATTAATCACAATATTGCATGTGTAACTAACCTTCTTCAACAACGTTTAAGAATTTAAAAGCATTCAGATTAATTATTTTGAAAATTGTGTGTCTGTTATGAAAATGCTTATCCCCACGCTTTCTTTAAAACTGGAATTTATTGTTTAGTCAATTCAAACTGGTGAAATAATTCTCACGTAATAGCTAAATGTGTTTTTGAGGGCCACTGATTATAAATATCGTGAAGCAAGGTGTCATAGAACTTTTTGATAAAATTTTTCAAAAAAAGTTCTTCAAAAGGGTCCTTAAGAAATAATAAAATTAATAACAAAGTTTTGCAACTGTCTCTGGTTTATTTATGGTCTGTGGCTCGTAAGGCTGGTATTGCGTTTATTTTGTTATTCCCGCGGGTGGTGTCACCTTATTGATGATAGAGAAACCTCTGAAAGTTGATCATACACGCAGCTGACATTTGATAAAAGCAAAAAAATAAGCCTTAATTAATCATATAGATGATTTTTATAATTACTCAAAGCGATTGGATTTTCACTTATACGCATGCAGAGGATACAACTTTATACTTGAAAGTGAAATTAACCATGAACTTGATAAACTCCATATTTGGCTATCTGAAAACAAGCTCTCATCAATTATTGAAGAGTCAAATTTTGTTATTTGTCACCCAGTTCATAAACAAATTCAAATAGCACAAATTTGTGCTATTTGAATGCAAAATATTAATCATTAGTCCAAGAAACTTCAATTCGATACCCTGGAGTTTATATAGATTCAAATATTAGTTATAAGAGTTACAACAACAACATTGCCAAAAAAAAAAAATTAAGTAATAATCAAAAGAAGTGTGGGTATGCTATCAGGCTTCGCTTTTTCCTAAACGCAAACACCTTATTTAGACTGTATAATATCTTCATAGATCCATTCTTAAAGTTTTGTTGAATTGCGTGGGGTAATGCCTATGTATCAGTCTACTTTTTTAATTTTATTTTATTCACAGATTTAAGCTCAGGGTTTTTGCTGGATGTTGGGGCACGCGCCAGCGTAACGTTTTTCTAGAAAAAATTTGTTATGCTTTTCAAGGTCACAAAAAACCGTCAAAAGGCGCTGAGCTAGGTTCGGACTATCGTTTGCTGTAGGAAATATCAGCAAAATTGCTTTCGCAGTAAGGCTAAGGCTCCACAAAAAAAAGAGAGACACACCCAGTGATAATTCGGCCAGGCCGTTGATTTTCTTCATTTTGCTTCCGTGAAATCCCTCGAGATTTTCAAAATTTGATAAATTTTTCCTGCCGATCATTTAAAAGCCGGAAAAGTAAGAGATACCAAGGCAGTTTCCTCGCTATTTGCAATTTTGTGTTTTCTTCCTCTATCTCAAATTGGTCCTATTAATTTTTTTCCCATCAACAGGCAATAGGAAGGACACAAATATGTTTAACGTTTCAGCAAAACTTTAGGAAATTCCACCACAGAAAACTCGATAATCTTACTCGAAAGATCCCTAATTTCTTTGTCGCAAAACATTAAGCAATTGAAAAGAACTTTGCCAAGATTGGTATGTGAGCATGCGTAAACTTTCGAATCGCGGACCACAAATGTTCATTCAATTTCACATGTTTTGTTCGAACTTTCGAAATTATCAATCGTCGACCAAAGTGGCCGTGTCTATGGTTGCTCCGTGCAAGGTAATAAGGTGCATACCTTTATGCTAGTTATTTCGAGGAATCTTTGCAAACATCATAGAGTGTTGCACTACGGCAGATACAATTCTCATCGTGATTGTCACTCGGGAACCGATGAACTTTATATTGTTTACAAATCAATTGGATGTTTCTCATAGCTAAACAAATCAAAGCTGCCGTTCCTCACTTGTTTTTCGCAGTTTAGGCAAGATTAAACAGGCTTTTTTCCGAGGACGGAAAATATACTGAAAAGCGTAGATTCCTCACCTGAGATGACCTTAGTGCCTGAGAGCACGTTTTGGAGGTGATTCATTTTCTTTGCAACGGTCTTCGTAGTTAAGTTTTCGCTTGGCCGATCAAATTTTGTACCCTCTACGCAGTGATTCACTCCTTTGTTTACATTCCTTTCGAGGTCGTCTCGAAGCGACCAAACGCGCCGCGGATGTCGCTTCACACTTTTTTAGGTTGAAAACGCCTAGAAATATATAAGGTGTCGTTGCTGGAATTTCCTGAGTCCATATATATTTTTACAAAAAATAAATAAATAAATAAATGAAAAAAAAAAAAAAGCACTCTTTGTCTACCACGCCTCAGCTCTACCCAGGAACTCCAACATCAACTTTCTGCGCAATGAACGACAACGCATACAGGTGTTCAACACCGACGACATCGCGGAAACACGAAAACGCCTTGGACAATATCTTACGCACCAACAGCTATCCTGAAAACGTTATACTCAAAACCAAACGACCCCGCAGACGCCGACATCAACCACAACAAAAACAACACTCTAATAAAGATTGGCTTTAATTCGAAATCCTATTTATTTCCGACAGATTAGACAGAAAGATCACTAAAATCTTCAGAAAAGAAAACATTGACGCCCGAATAACCCATAAAGTCTACACTTTAAGAAACGCCTTATCCACCAGGAGAAACGAACCAGAATGCAAACGCACCAACTACCCTGTCGCATACAGACAGTTTGCTTTTGCAGAAACACCATCTACAAGATCACATGCGACAGACACCAACAATTCTACGTCGGCAGTACCGACCGACACACACACGACCGGGTAAAAGAACATTTAAACAACAACAAACCATCCGTGTTCAAGCACAAAAACGCGAAAATAAAACTTACATTATCAAATGAATATTATAAGAACTAAGAAATAGATCGCCAGTGATTCGATGTAGAGACCTTTAACAAACTGACTGAAAAAAATTTTAACAAATTGACTGAAAAAAGCAGCTGAACGATGTTAGAGCCCTGAGAATCCTCTACGAAGACCACGCATATTTAATAAACCTTGTTTGCAGAAGGTTTACGAAACGTAGAATTGTAAAGAAAGAATCTATTTTGCATGCGAGCTTTGTGTTCTTAGCTAATTAAACACATCTTTGTGGTAAAAAAAAAGGCCCCGGAGTGAAATACACTGGCACATTTTTTCTGTTTATGTAACTTCATTGGAAACCTGTTTGGCTATTGTGACAGTTAACTTGTTTTTCATCAGCGATACAGTCTTCAAAGAAATAAATCCCTATTGTACCAATTAAATACCCAAAGCATGTGAAATCCGTTTTCACCGTTATATTAAGTTACCAAGAATTTCAGTATTTTTATGTACTCAAATCCGCAATACAGGTTCATACTTAAATACGGGAGAAGAAAATGATTATTAACAGAAATTGATTGAACCCTCTCGAGAAAACTCCCCTGGCGTAGTTAACTTAGCTAATCAAACACAATACTACGAGGTTGACATACTTTGTGCAACATCATCCACGTATCTCTCAGTCTTGTAGAAAACCGTTATATCTACTATCGTATACCTGATCTGTTTTTAATAGTCGTACTTTAAAAAGAGTAATTCTTAGACCCTTAAAAATAGGTGGTAACTGAAACAGAAAATTGTTTTTCTTGCCTAAACTGTGCATGAGTATAAAAACGTAATCTAATCATATAGCTGATTGACCAAAGTTTTCTTATTCCTTTCCACTTTAACCATTCCCCAACTCAATAATGTTAATGATTAAGCAATTGGTCGATGGGACGACCACAGTTGTCACACATTTTGAAAATCTGAAGGAAATCTAGGTAATCTGTAGAGGTATCAACGCTTCCAGGCCGTTGAAGAAGCCAAATTAATGAGCAAAACATGTAACTTGGGGGAAGTCGATTTTGCATGCGCAATTGGCGAACATCAATTTTTTTTTCTTTCAATCATGTTTCAGCTGTAATTCCCTGATGAAACGAAGGAAAAGCATTTGCTTAAAGGGTTGCAACTTTCTTTGTTATTTTCTTTAATAATAGGCTCGACAGTTGTTTCATATCTTTTGCCCTGCTATGTTTTTCATTAAAACCTTTCCTTTATTTTTGAGAGGTAATGTATGTATTTACAAAACAACATTTGGATGTGTTAAGACTGCTTTTAATACACTTACTTCTGAAACGTTACCTTCAGTCACCATACCTCTGATCATGAATCTGCGTTTACGTTCTGAGTTTATATTGGCTACCCTTGCAAAAAGGTACCTTAGCAAAAGTACCTATGATTGCTCACACATCGATGCAACATAGCAAATACTAATACCACTGCCCAAACATTGTCTAATCCAAAGTTGCCGTGTATCGTGGGTTTGAATACCTATACCCCTAAAATATTTCCTACCGTAAAGGCTAATGCACTCTTCCTCAAAATCCTTACCTTTGAAACGTTTTAATTTCGCGCTCGGGCTGTTCAAGGTTTTATCTATCTTAGCTTAAATCTCGTTCATCTCTTAAAAAAGAATTATCCATGAGATGCTAAATTTATCTAACGGTTCTGATAGTGCGATTTTAAAATGATTTGTATGTTGTCTCTGGTGGTGGTATATATAATTTTGCTCCTCGGACCTATGCTAAGCGTCAGCATGTGTACATGGAGAGTTTCGTTATAACAATGATGCCCACCGTAACTGGATTTATCTCTGGTTATTTCAATTTGTAATTTAAGCTGTCATCATGACAGTCATAGCTCCATTTGTAAATACTGTTTTGTGTTAGCTATCCCTAGAACAATGTTTTTTAGACTTTGAAAGATAAGTTAGTGCTTATCATACAGAGCACAAATAGCCATATGGTGTGTAGCGAAGTATGTATTCTTGTGTTGATAATCGTGGTTACTGATGCTAATAAATGGTGATATCATATAACATGGTATAAACTCTTCTCTCTCCTCATTGCACAAAGATGTATCCCATGGCTTTAATGTGTCTTTCTCCATTATCAAGAAGTTTCATGCGTGCATCGATTCCACACGTGTTTTTGTTATCGTGTGGCCCTCCTGTACCAAAACCGATTCTGGAATCAACATCAAGGCAATTATTATTGTTGTTGGCGACAATGCCAATTCTTGCTCGGGAAGCTTTATGCTTCCAGGAAGAAATCTCCGGTTCGACATTGAACCCTTCTTTGTTACATTTAGGCTGTAAAGAGCCTTGTGGACCAATCAGCGACTTCAACGTGTCACGACCCAATGAGGTAGAGCGGTAGTGTCCGTCAGAAATCAGTGAGTGCAGTGAGTCAGCCTGCATGCTGATGACAACGAACCTGAGCTGTTGGTCGACCTTCATACCAAGACAAATTTTGGCGAACGAAGTGTTCCAGTAGGTCGGTAACTTGGTTTCCTCTTGGTCAAACCCAGTCTCTCCTCCAGGAAGGTTGTATTTTTTCTTGTTTCCCCAAAAATTGGAATCATAATGAAAAGTTTGCTGATTAGGAATAGAAGAGAATCATCTTTGAGTAGACATGAAATACAAGTAAATAAGGGCCCGGACGCACTGGGCAAAGTTTTGTTTATTTTGCGAAAAAATCTGTCATCAGTTCCCTGAGACAAGTGCGCCCGGTAATTTTTAGATCTACCAAATTTTGTCGAGGCTTACCAAACTTCAAAGAAGCCGTCGTCCTGCCTCCGAGCAGGACAAATTTTTGTCAGGCATGAAATCTGACAGATTTGTCAATTTACACGCCATGATTTGAGGGAACATGTTAATCAAGAAAATTTTACCTCTATTTTTAGTCAGAGTATTTCAATCCGAAGCCCACCGAAATTATTTCTTTGGTGTGCGGCAATCAAACGGTGAAGATGGCAGATTCGTACCTCGATATGCTACATAATGATCCTTACTCAGAATAAAAACTATTACGGTTCCCAAGTCCACGTTCCAGCTGCATCTCCAGGGCCAAGTACTGTTCAATTAATATCGGCTAAAGTAGTCGACAGCACTTTCTTTTGGAGCCTTATTTTTTTATGTGTCCCATCGACGGCGGCTGCTATGTTTGGTAGATCCGAAAATTCTTCGAACGTTGCGATGAAGGCTCCTGTCTCATGTGATTGACACGTGTGATTAACAAATATTTTGCTGTGTCTCAGTGCGCAGAGACAGATTTGGCAGAGACAAATTTTGTCGAGATTTTTGGCAGGGCCAGACAAATTCTGTCAGTCCATTGTGTTCGGACCCTAAGTTGTTCAAAACGTCCAGCCAGTGTCAAAGAAAATCTGAGCCAGCATAAACTCATTGGAAAGACAGCGGTGTTAAACCGATCATAGATAACGTTTAACACAAATCGATCGATCATTGATAACCTTTGACATTTTAACGTAAAACAATGAAAGAGAATTCCTGGAGGGGACTATAAATACTATTTTAAGAATCAAGAATTAACAATTCACAATTAAAGTCATATCGCAAACATGAGCCTCATCAATATATAATTGTTTGTAGTCTCAATTGCAGAAGTGTAGAACTTACAGGGAACCGGTGTAGCTTGAGTTGGGGTAAATTACAGCAGACTGGAAATCTTTAGTGGCCTAGACTTTTTTTTTAAGCGCTCAAGCCGTGAATTAAATCTTTCGATCTCTTGTTTTCGGCTTAGCTAAAGAAAGAAATTGATTTTAAAAAATGACCTTGTTCCAATCAATTTTCATAACAAACTCCACCTCCACATCCAAAATCGCCCACGTGACAGAAAACAGAAGTTTGAATTGAGTCGATAAGAAGCGTGGCCACACCACTAGCGTTTATTCTGTGAAAAAAAAAGAAAAAAAAAAAAAGGAGAAAGAGAGGACGAGAATATAATAAAAAAGACTATAGTAAAAAGACTTCTGCAATCATTTTTTGGAATATTACACTTAAACCGAAATTATCGTTTCTACTGTAATAGTAAATTTAAAATTGGCCAAAGCGAGGTAAAACAAATATTTTTATCAACTTGCACTTCTCTTTAATTCGACAACTTTCATTATGGTATTAAGTAGAAAGACAGTTTCATGATGAACTTAAAATTTCTTTTTATAAGCTTCTCTGCAGCTGGAAACAGTAACTCCTGAAAAAAAAAGCGAGTCAAACAAAAGAAAAAGAAAGAGCAAGAAAAAAATTGAGAAACTGTGATACTATATTAAAGCTTGCAAAAAATTGAGAGGAAATGTTATGCGTAGATGTCGTCCAGAAACATACACTGAAGATGAGTTTAGGCTGACCTATATCATGGCACAAATACCTTTACAAGTCCGTCCGTCTCCAGAATATCCAGGTTTACATTTGCAGTTATAAGATCCTTTGATATTGTTGCAAACAACATTGGCACTGCACCTATTCTTTTCTGTAGCACATTCGTCAATATCTGTATTTATATATATATTTGTATGTATATGGTCGAACCAGTAATCAGTGCTTATCCACGCTTAATGCAGGGTCAACATAATAAGGTGGTTGTATTTAAAAAGACTGAACTTCATTTCATCTCATAATTTGACCACTTGATGTATAACTAATCGCTCAAAAATACTACTGATACTGACATCGGGAGATAAACATGAAGTATATTTTACTTAAGATTTTTATTTTTATGTGAGTTGTTTCGGGTCAAAGAGACCCTTTCATACAGGTGGAAGAATACAAATAGGCCGTTGGAACTCAGTTAAAGCTGACGACCACCACTTTATAAAGAAGAAAACTACAATAAGTATGAGGAAAAAGTCTGAGACCTTTATAACCGGCCACGTACCACAGGGTGACCACTTAACACAGTGCCGCTCAATACAGCTCTGACTATATTATTGATCTCAATTATAATCGCAGCTGCTGTTGATTTTGCCTGCGCAAAGTTACACTTTAATCTCAAAGACGGTGATTTACGTATCGAGAAAATAATTTATCTTCATCACAGATCTGACCCTTGAATCCAGCAGTACACAAACAGCCATAACCTTTGTCAGTGTAACCGCTGTGACAAGTGGCGTTATTCTTGCAAGGGTTTGTTACACAGATATTCTGACATTAAAGAAAAAAAAAACATATAGAAAGATGCCGACAGGCATATCGTTTAGAAAATCATGCTTTCAATGATATCCAACTTATTTCCATCATATAGTTTTGCCAGCTTTACAACAGGTAGCATGTTATTCTCAAATTCCGATCTACTATTGAATGTGAAGTTGAGAACCTCTTAAGTACATTGCGATGTTGTTAAACAGTTGTAAATGCTCAACGCAAATCCTCACCGCTGTCCTATCGAACACCTGTTTACAAACTTTTAAAGCAGGGTTTAAGTGGCACTTGCCTCTACTCCTCGGTAAATGTATCTTTGATCCTCGACCAGGTCGTTGCTGTTTCCTACGTGAGTGACATCATTTAACTCACATCTGTGTGTTCCATCATTTCCTTTCGGTTTTATTTCGATATTATAACTGACACAGTTTGGTTCCATGAAACATCGTATCGCACATAACTCTCTATCCTTGACGTCATTAACTTGAATCACATGGTTCACCAGGCGTTGACCGTCTAACATTCTTGAGTTCTTGAATTCCAAATAGCGGCATTTTTCTGGGTCAGAGGGAAATTTCTCTATTGCTTTGTGACTTTTTTTTAAATTCAATAAATCTTATCTTTAAGCATTGAGCTAGAAAAGACATATATTTACTATGCCAGCGTCAGGAAAAGATATATAGTTTTAGTAACTTGACGAGTAATTCAGTAAAGCGCTTAACGCAAATACTGTTTGTATGATAACTTCAAAATAGATTTCTAGAAATTTTGAGAAATTTCTAGAACGTTGTAATAGGTTTATGATGTAATACTACCAAACCAGTTGTGTTGTAAGCTTCCTTAACGTTATAGAATACTTATATAAGGACTAAGTCGTGTAGTAGTGAGACAGGCAAACAATGGAGGCCTTAACATATCACACTTCAATCTCATCGAGAGAAAGAAACTATGCTTTATTTCAGATGTGCAATAAAATCACCAAAAATTCAATTTTAGGTTTTAGTTACGGGGATTCTATTGCAAACACTCCACAACTAGAGCTAAATATTCCACGACACAGCGAAAGCATGTCGGTAAGATTTAGCCATCCTTACTAGACCTGGCACCTTACATTTTCCAGCTCTTTGAACTGAACATCAGAAACTAAAATGGGGTTGAGGCCTGTAACTTTGTTCATATATTCATATGTTTTACAACTTTGATGCAGATGAAATTATAACTGAAAGAGAACCAAAGCAAGAAATTGTTTTGGTTCGTTTCTATAGAGGCAATTACGTCAATAATTTCAGTGCATCTGCCGACAGCAAGAACTTAAATTTGTGTTTGAGAGGCTTAACTAATGCAATTGAGGTTATTTTTTTTGTAGACATCAAAGAAAATAAAAAGCTTGCTGCTTAAATGAAACTGGCACTGCACCACGTATTTGCACCGCATTTTCTTTATTTCATCATCTGTCTAAACCATAAGACTACACAAGGTTAAACACTTTTTGAGTTACATTTGATACTAACCTTCTGAGAACGCGGCACTGAACATCAGCGAGCAAAGGAGAGGTAAAATAACACAGATGCGGAGGGAATGCATAAAAAGAAGTAATTTTGAGAACTGCTCCATAATTCTAGATGTAATGGAATTCTTTACACGTTAAACGCAACGTACTAACATACTGATAATCGGATCAATACTAATTTGCTGAGTGTTTTACGTCCGAATAAAATATTACGTGTCTTTCTCTCAAATCATCAATTCTTAATGGAGATGGACAATAGAAAACACCGCATGCCTGTTATGAAAAGCTCTATCCCCATATATTTATATATATTTTTCTTCCATTTGAAATTCAAATGTTGAAATAGTTTACACTATAATTGAGAATGTTGTTATTAATATTCATTCGGATTGGCATCAACTTGCTGCTGACTGATAAACATCTCAAAGTTGGTCATAATACAAGGAGCTGATATTCGATGAGATCAACATCTGTAACTTCTACAAATTCCAATAAAAATTCCAAAATATCATTCAAAATGCCGAATGAGAGGGGTAAAAAGTTACTTCTGGTTAATATGGGGTAACGAGGTCAGGTATTAGAAGCATTCCCTTCCATAAATATTATAAATTCTCATCACTACGTTTGAAGTTTTGTAAAGATGAACAAAAAAACCTAGCCCTATCCGCCTGACGTTAAGAAATTCACTGATTAATAAAAAATAAAGAGTGAAAAGAACCTCTTTTAGACTAAAAAAATAGCAGTGTTTCACATAATGTTTTGGTAAATTAATTTATCTTTGGTTATTGCAATGGAAATATTTAAATGGCATCAAGATATTCTCGGCTCCTGAAGAGTTATCTTCTGAATATCGTTATAAAAAATTACAAACCTAAGTTATTGTGTGTAACACTCAGTAAGGATAGTTCAGGTGTCTGAAATTATCATTTTCATTGTTTTGTTGATGTCAGGAGACTACGGTAGTTTTTCTTGTACATAAAAGTGGTGCCGGTGACAACGTTCATCACCATATGTATATAGTTTTTCTTTCCCGTTACTGTACCAAGATGTATCCCATAGCTTTGATGCTTCTCTGCCCATTATCTAGTGTATGCCCGGAAGCATGGATTCCACATGTGTTGGTATCATCATGCGGCCCCCCTGTTCCAAATCCGATCCTGGAGTCAACATCACGGCAATTATTTTGGTTGTTAGCGAAAATACCGATTCTTGCTTTAGAAGCTCTACTCTTCCAAAATGCACTTTCCGGTTCAAGATTGAATCCTTCTTTGTTACAGTAACGCTGTAGGGAGCCTTGTACACCAATCAGCGACTTCCACGTATCACGACCTAATGAAGTGGGGCGGTACTGCCCGTCAGCGATCAGTGAGTACAGAGAGTCAGCCTTCGTGTTGATGAGGATGAACCTGAGCTCTTGGTTGATCTTCATACCGAGACAGATCTTGGAGAAGGAAGTGTTCCAGTAAGTCGGTAATTTGGTCTCCGCTGTGTCAAATCCAGTGTTTCCCGCAGGAAGGTTATATTCTGACTTGTCTCTCCAAAAATCAGAATCGTAATGAAACGTTTGCTGATCACAAGTAAAAGAGAATTATCTTTAAGTAAAAGGTAAGGATAAAGAAACCATGAAGCTACAGCAACCAGTCAGTAGGATCAAAATGAACTCAATAGAAACTCAATAGTTTTCCTCGAGTCTGATAAGCCGAAAGGGTGATGAGAGTTTTAAATCATTTTAATTTTGAGTAAGATTTGACACTTGATAAAAATAAATGATCCTTCAGAATTGTATTCTTCTAAAATTTTATATTGCCTTGCGTCCAAATACGTCATTAATAAATTTTTATGTGTGTTTGAACTTTCTTAGAAGCAAATCTTTTTACATTTGAAATGAGTCCTAAATGCTATTTCAATAAATCAAGGATGACCAAATTATCTTTATTTAAAAAAAAAACTCTAAGATTTCCTTAAAAAAAATATCCATAATTTGAAACGAATACTCCTTCTTTTGTTTTCTTTTGTCCATGACGTCCAAATTTATCTTTAGTTTGAAAGAGACCACGAAATTAAACATTTTAACACAATGTGGTAAAAATAAATAAATAACAGACCATAGCATCCGACGGACGAAAACCCAGCAAGGAGAAGGCGCTGTTGTGGTTGGGGAGATGTAAACGAAAGGCATATTACGAACATGTTATCTTTAAGGCTTAATTTTTCAAAACTCCAAAATCTGACCCAGTTAGTTTAATAGCTTCTTAAGAAAACTTAGAACAGACCTTGTTGCCATCAATCTTCATAACAGGGGTCCATATTCCATTACCACATCCTACGTCCCCCACGTGACAGAAAACGGAAGTTGGTTTTGAATCGATATGGAGCGTAACGATGCCACTCTCGCTCAGTCTATCAAAGATAAACAATTTAAAATATACATGTATATACATATAGATATATATATATTTTTTTTGCATATGTATATTTATATACATATATATATATGTATAGTAATAGTAATCAGTGGCTAAATCAGTAACACAACAGCTGGAAAAAACTAGAAAAAAATCATCATATTTTTTTCTTTTTTTCTCGCCTTAAAATCTTTACCACTCTATGTGAGATGAACTTTGTCGTTTATTTTCAAATGTAACACTTACATCTGCCTGTCATAGGCTTCCTTGCAGCTTGAAACCGCAACCGCTGCAGTAAAAAAGGATTTGAATTTTTAAACTTTATAAAGTTTAAGAAGTCTCAGTGAAAAATTTAAATTTAAATATTGCATCAGCACCGCAGCTGTACCCTCCTGTCACACTTTCGTCAATATCAGGAAATGCAACACATTTGATTACAATTATACTGTTTTTAAAGCAACCACTGTTTTTCTGTGGCGTTTATATGTACAAAAAAATTTCAAAAGTGGGAAGTCCACGTATTTATTGAATAATTTTACCTTCACCACAAGTCTGACCCTTGTATCCAGCAGTACACAAACAGCGGTAACCTTTTTTGGTGAAACCGCTTTGACAAGTTGCGTTGTTTTTGCATGGAGTTTTTTTACAGTTACTCTGACATGAAAATTAGAAATATATATATTTGCAAAATTAATAACAACAAAGAAAAGAACAGCGGTGACGGTTGATAGAATAATAATAATAAAAAGAAGAAGAAGAAGAAGAAGAAGAAAAAGAAGAAGAGGAGGAAGAGGAAGAGGAAGAGGAAGAGGAAGAGGAAGAGGAAGAGGAAGAGGAAGAGGAAGAGGAAGAGGAAGAGGAAGAGGAAGAGGAAGAGGAAGAGGAAGAAGACGAAGAAGATGAAGAAAAAGAAGAAGAAGAAGAAGAAGAAGAGGAAGAGGAAGAAGAAGGAGGGCGAAGACGAAGATACAGAAAAATGAACGATTACAAAACAAACGAAGATCCGTTTACGGTATGAAGATAGTTAATGATATTGGCTTGACAACAGGATTTGAAATTTATTTGATGGGAACATTTCGCGATTTGTTATGTATGTCGCTAAGCAATACGAAATCCCCAAATGTTTATTAAAAAGGTGCATAAGTGGTAAACAGTTTAAATCAACTAGAGAGGACACAAATTTCACTTGCCTCGGCCCCACTGTAAATGTAACTTTGATCTTCAACCAGGTGGTCTTTGTTTCCTGCGTGATCGTGAGTGACATTATTCAGTTCACAAATATATGTTCCACTTCTTTGGTTTCCAAGATTATAACTGACACAGTTTGGTTCCACGAAACAAAGCAGTTCACACAATTCTCTGTCCTGAACACCATGAACTCGAATCAGATGGTTTCTCAAGCGTTGACCTTCAATAGTATTAGCGGGGTTGAATACCAAATGGCGGCATGATTCTGGGACAGAATGATTTAAAAGAAACAAACAAATAAATCAATATTTCACTTCCAAATACGTTTTATAGCAAACCGAAAGAAATGAATCCTAAGGCTGACAAATATTCGTCTATGACAAGGGATGAAAGATTTATAGAAAGTTGATCATTTATTTGGTTCAGAGCCTGGGATAAAAAATTTTTTAAAAATTTTAAAAAATTTATCAAGAAAACAGAATCCAGTGTGGTTGTGGAACTCAGCATCTTCCAAGAGCAGCAATCTAAAGCATTGTGCGCGCAAAAATTTAAATATAAGAGGGGTTACTATTCTATTACCATTCTATTTTTCAAGTAGGCATGTAGTTAGTTACTCTTCTCAGAAGTTTCAGCCTTTAGCATGGAGCTAAATATTCGTCGGGCCGCCGCTGCCAAATATCTTTCGTTTTTTTTTAAAACACTTTCCACCTTTAACAGAATCACTGAGAAAAGCCTCTGTCTGTGTTATGATACGAAATCATCCAAGACGATAAAAAAAGTCAAAAAAGATAATAAAACAACCACAAAAACAAAACAGAATGATCCTATTTTGGTAACTGATTCGCTAAACCTAAGACTTTTAACTCCAACTGTGTAAAAGAGAGCTTAAAGGCAGGTAGTTGTATAGTGTTTTTCCCTCGGAGAAGTCATTAAAGAAATTCAGAACACCATCTGATAAAAAGAGAGGAATATGCATATTTCTAATTCGTAAGAGGAGGAGCCTGTAAAGCGTATACTCGACTTCGCAATTAAATTTTCTGTGTAAATCGTCAAGAATCTTGCCCCTAAACCAAAACTGGTATTCGACCGATCAAGCTATTTGCATCCTATTCGTTATTTCATCACCTTCGAAAATATGGCACTTAACAAAAAACATATGTATATATGAAGTCGGGATTTGGGTAAAAATCAAGATACTAACCTTCTGACAAGACTGAACCAGTTAGTACAGAACGAAAAAGTAGCAAAATAGAACAGATGCGAAAGACAAACATGACATAAAAATAAAAATGCAAGCAGGACTGTCTCGATGTTTAAGATGTTGGAAGGCACTTCACAGTGAACGAAACACACTGCAACTATATGTCATGAATGATTTTTTGAGTTGAAAAATATACAGGTGTTTACCTCTTTGGGCATGAATTCTTAATGATGTTAAACAAAATAACTCTCCTTTTAAAATTGAAAACTCTCGGTTGAAACAAGACTTATAAGCTGTTGTCAGTTATTGAACTTTCCATTGTGCGAAAGTACAAATAATCATTGAATTTCAATACAGCATGTCTACCCAACACCTTTTAACGAATTGACCTCTTAGATAATTATCAAGGATGAATTATTTTTAACACAAGAACTTAAACCGTTGAGTACCCCAATTATTTTTATTCATTTTAATTGGCGTCGACCTGCTGGGATCAAACAAACCTTTCTAAGTAGTAAATTATAATACAAGAATACACGTCTTCAAGAGTATTAACCTCTTTAATAACCCCAGGTATTGCTACGAAATTCCAATTACATGGCAAAACGTTGAGCAGATCTTTCTTCCCCCTTAATTCTTAACCTTAATTAATGCCGAAGAATTATCTGTCAAGTTGAAAACCACTTTCAAGAATTGCCAAGTCACGTCAACAGTAGGCCTAACACCTTGACTCGTAATATTGATGATAATGACGATAATTATGATAATAATATTAAAAAAAGTAATGGTTACAACATCAAAAACCACAATGATGACAATTTTTCGACTTTAATGCTGCTCAAAAACTGCTGTTTATGCATTCTATTTTATTCCTCAAAATGGTTTACAAAATAACGTTATAAGCTACAACAATCAAACAAAAACGTCAACAAAAGTCAAACAACCCTTTCGCGTATTTTCCCACTAGATCTGTGAACAGAGGCATTTATAGACATTTACTGAGTGCATGGACTTAACATAAAACTCTCTGTTTTAAAAATAATTAAAATAACGAGACGAGAAAAAACAAACAGAGTATTTTTGAGATATCCATAAACACAAATAAAACGTACCTAAACTTCCGCCGTTAATTTGCTTGTTTGTTATATTTGTCTCCTAGCTAAGCGTTAGTTTATAAAACTGAGTACAGAATCTTCGAATTCATTTCGGTTTTATATTTTTATATCAATTTTGACATTTATATTTCTTTTCACCGTTAGCCCTTGAATGCCTAAGTCAAAAAATGTTATTTTTCTTGAATTTAAATCTTAAAGTTTGACAAAGGTCTATATATGTTTTTGGCTTTGAATTCGTCGGGATAACTCTTATTTGTTCAACCAAAAATTGGTCCCGTGAAGGAATTCAAGTATCACTAGGGGTAAAAATTAAAGCATACACTGTACCCTTTCCCTGTGTTCTTCATGGAAATGATATATGTATGAAGGCATTAAAATATATTTATTGTTTTTTTCACCTCACAGTACGCTCTTGCGTCTTGCTATAGCTAGAAATCCGGTAGCGACTGAAACAAAAAAAGCGCATCTTGGGGAAAAAAGCTTTTTTTTCTCATTTCTCTTCGTTATAGTCTATGTTTAGCAGTCAATCAACATGACTGCTTGTAGATCTCGCCTTCAACTCGATATCTCAGGAGTGAGGGCTGCGGAAGAGCTAGATATCGAGTTGAACATGAGGAGAGAAATCCTATATCTACGCTCGCTTAGGATACATGTTCTCACCTTCCGTGAATACATCTTTTGAATATTGCTTTGCATAAATGATAGTGTTACATCGGTGTGTATGATAATCTGTAAAGATAGATAGCGTGTATTTAGGTATGCACTTAGTTTTTCGCTATTGTTGTTGATGAGGGTGGTGATGTTGACGTTTTTTATCCCTATATATACAATTTTCGCTCGTCGCTGCACCAAGATGTACCCCATGGCTTTCATGAATTTCGACCCATTATCAAGACCGCTTTCATCTGCAACGATTCCACACGCGTTTTTGTCATCATGTGGCCCTCCTGTACCAAATCCAATTCTGGTATCAACATCATTGCAGTTATTTGCATTGTTGGTGATAAAACCGATCTTTGCTTTGGCAGTCTTAAATTCCCAATAAGCTGTCAACGGATAAAGATCGAACCCCTCTCTGTTACAGTAAATCTGCGAGGGGGCCTTTGGACCAGTCAAGGATCTCCATGTGTCACGTCCCAGTGACGTGTTTCGGTATTGCCCATCAGCGATAAGTGAGTACAGAGAGTCAGCCCGCTTGTGGATGACTATGAACCTGAGCTGTTGGTCAATCTTCATACCGAGACAGATCTTTGAGAAGGATGAGATCCAGTAAGTCGATAACTTTGTCTCCATTTGGTCAAACCCAGTCTCTCCTCCAGGAAGATTGTATTCTTCCTTGCTGCTCCAGTAACTGGAATCATAATGAAAAGTTCGCTGATTCGAAATAGAACAAAATTATCATTTGACAGACACGATACAGGATGAATAAACAAGTCGCACACAATGGACAACCCGAACAAAGAAACTTTAAGCTGAAATAAACTCAATGGAAACAACGGTTCTAAATCAAATCTGAATTGGTATAGGAAAAGTTAGCAGTCATACTCAAGATCACATCACAAGTGCTTTTTTATGATATCAATAATTTACCCTCAAATTTCCATCCAGCTTGATTCATAGATTGTTATAATAAGTAATAATCTACTGAGTAATAATCGTGTTAGTGTGAGAACCACTGAGGAACCATTATAGCTGAGATTGGGTGAGATTAAAACGGAAGTAAAATCATGAACTCCAAACTCGAGCCTAAATTTTCAAGATACACAGATCATGACAGTAATGCACGGAAAATATGTCTTTAGTCACATACCAATAAAAGAGAGAAATCAATGAAATAAAAGATTGAATATCTCACAACCAACAATTTTCCCAACAACGGGCCATGAACCATTTCCACATTCTACATCCCCCAAGTGAAAAAAAAAAAAAAAAGAAAGAAACGGGCGTCGCAATCCTAAAACCTAGATTTTTTAAATAAACCGAATTGTGACATAAATATTCTGATTGTATCTTCTTATTTTCCTTACCAAAAAGAGCAATAGTTAAAACATAAAAATGACAATCATTTATAAAACCTTGCTGCCATCGATCTTCATGAGAGTATCATCCACGTGACAGAAAATAGAAGTTGGTTTTGAGTCGATGTAGAGCGTAACGATGCCACTCTCGCTTAGTCTGTCAAAGATGAATCAGATTATAATGAATAAAATGTGATTTAAAGTCATCCCGTGTTTTGCATCTATCAGTTTGGAATACTATTTTCAGTTGAGTTTTCAATTGCTAAAAAGAACATAGGCAACAACGACATTATTTAAGTTAGGATAAGTGACGATCTCCTCTTGGCTATTTGCAACTCTCGCTCCAAGATTAAGTTAATTATTAACTTCCTAATATCGTACTTACATTTTGTTCTCATAGGCTTCTTTGCAGCTTGAAACTGTAGCTGAGGAAAAAAGAAAGTCATAAGAACTATCTAATACCATTAAAGTTTATGGGATCATAAAGAAAAGTTATTACGCTCGTTTGAACTCTTACTTTCACTACGTGTAAAGTTGAAGCAGATAAAACTAAATAAGCAATACACCGCACATTCTTTCGGTTTAGAAGCATAAGAGACTCCAAAGGATGTTGGAGAACATGTGAAATATTTGAGGCTCTTCGAAATTGTTTATAAGAATGCTACGCTTATGTTGAATTTGATAGCATCATATCTTGCTAAATTAATTCAAACAATTCTAGATTAAGCCTTTAAAAGGCCGAGTGGCTTACATCTACAGGGGCTTACCTAATCTCCGTATAATGATTGGATTCTAGTCAAATATAAGTATTCCAGCGTTTTGCCTGGATCTCTTTGTACCTCGCTGGTACCAATGCGCCATTTCAAGTTGGGCATGCGCACGGAGATCAACTTTAACCGGCCGCGCACCACTTTATCGCTCAAAAATGAATACAAGTACTATCACGGAAAATATGGGCTGAAGAATGCAATCGCTTTTGGAAATCTGTAAAGAGAACTCAAGGCTTTTCGAACACCTTATTCAATAGCGGTTATTCTTGTGATTAAACACTGATTTTGTTTTGAGCCTAAACAAAACAGTTATAAGATTCTAAAACGCCGTGACTTACTGGATTGCCTGATTTACTACAAGTCCTGTTAAACAACTTGGTTGTGACAGCCTCAAATCATGGTACCTAGCTTTTACAAAGTTAACCCATGCGTAAAAGTTAGACCGTTGTGTACCCGGTTCTCTCTTATACTCTTGAATGGAGAGGGCCCTCGAATGATTATAGTAAGAGTCTTCCCTTAGAACACAGCAACAAAGGCCTGCCAGGTCGTAAGCAAAGAACTTCAACCGGAGACAAATTTCTAACTAGTAGGCCACAGCTAGTTTTTCAGCTGGGGCATATTCAGACACGTGATGCGTTAAGAATGAACTAAAATAAATTATGGATTATGACTAGGGATATCGCTAAATTCACCTTGGCAAGTTCTCCCATCCCCAGAATATCCAGGTTTACAATCACAATTGTACGATCCCCTGGTATTGTTACACACAGCATCAGCACTGCAACTGTGCTCTTCTGTATCACATTCGTCAATATCTAAAAATACGCCAGAGTTTTTTTTTATGGTTTTTAGTTCTGCCATTGTGTTTCAGTGGTCTTAGAATTTTCACATAGGTTTTAAAAGTTGTGAACTACCTATTCATGTAAACAGTGTTACCTTCATCACAAGCCTGACCCTGGTATCCATCAGAACACATACAGCGGTAACCTTTGTCAGTAAAACCGCTTTGACATTTGGCGTTGTTCTTGCAAGGATTCCTGATACAAGCACTCTGACATACAAAAGCAGTAATCGAGATAGCGATATTAAATAATCACTGGATGAGTTTTTTTTTGTCATATCCAGAATAGCCAAGGTCGAGGCAGGGGTTATCAGACGAAGCCGAAGACTGAGGTTCATAACCCTTACCAAGGAAAAATATTTTTGCTTCTTTACAGACAACAAGCTAAGCAAAGCTCCCGAACTCGACATGATTACTCGAAGAAATCATGCACCACGGTCATACATGACATGATTACCCGTGGCCTTGGGTGTCCTTGTCTTGATTATTGTATAATCTGCAGCTATTTGACGTCCTAGTCAATGATTTTGAAAATTCAATGTAAGCCCTAGAGCAATCAGAAAAGACGTAGCACTGAGTTGAATGTATAATAAATTAGAATAATTGTAACAATGCTAATAATGATGATAAAGATAATCACGATGATACATTAAATTCAATTCAGTTTTTACTAAAGTTGATGATGTAATTCAAGATGACGAGGATAGAAGATTATGATGATGATAATAACTTCGATAGGGGTATGCAATTTGCATGCCGTGCATAATAATACCATTTCTTGCAACCCTTAAATGGTTACTCTGCCACTCTGCGAAATTGATAAGTCAAAAAAATTATCTATGATTATTAATGGTACTTGCCTCTGCTCCTCGGTAAATGTAATTTCGGTCCGCAATCAGGTTTACTTTGTTTTCTTCATGAGTAGCATCATTCAGTTCACATTTATGTGCTCCATCATTTCCACTAGGTTGCTTTTCGAGATTATAACTGACGCAGTTTGGCTCCATGTAACAAAGCATACCACAAAACTCATTGTTCTTGACGTCGTCAACTCGAACACGTGATTTCTGAGGCGGTGATCATCAAATGCTCTAGCGGACTTTATCGGAGCAATTAAAAATGCAAATTTATAAAGGGAATGAATTACTATGCATCGCCTTTCTAAGACTAAAGCCATGCAATATCTATCAACTTTGAAGATTTTCTTTACGAGGCCTACTAGCGTTCAAAAGTTTTCTATTTGTTTTGTCTCGAGTACATGATTGAAAAAGAAAATAAAAAGAGTGGTAGCCTTCCTCAGGAGGAATTGAATACTAATTGTCAGTAGAAAAATTTGTGTGTGCACACAGAAAACGAAGGACAGTAAATAAAACAGTGGAGGTCAAACCAGAATATTTATAAAATATTCATTGAAAAGGGTTGCTTCGAAATTTTGAAAGATTAACGTTGTTTTATAATTAGCGTTAGACAGACGGCTGTAAAGGATATGATCTCAAGCTCTTTTGGTTTCTGGTCATTCAGAAAACGTTAAAGATACATTATTGGTGATCTATTTCATAAAGGCAGCATTATGCTCAGCCCTGAGTTTTTAAAATTACCGGAATTTATTTATTGTTTGCATTCATGCAGATTTTTTCTTTCTCGCGTGCTTCAAAACTGGTGCTAAATAAAGTACATGTCGTCTTAAAACATGCCAGTGACATATTCTCCTCCTACTCTCCTTACCGGACCGTACTATAACTTATGTCAAATGAGCCTGTTGAGTCCGGTTCAGCTTTTACAGTGAAAGACGAAATGCTCATGAGAGGAATTGGCATGCAAGATGCACCACTGTTAACGAAAGAACTGTTAAAAAAATGCCATAATCTTTACTTATGTTGATTCTATGACAATGCGTGTGAAAGAGAACTGAAAGACAGATGATTTATTCCGGGTTGCTCCTTCAGGGCTTTCTTTAATTTTTTTTAAGAAATTACTTGTTTAGAACATCAGTATCCTTCAAATATTTTCTTCAATGAAGAATTAGGAGCTTTTTTCAGTGGTATTCACTTTTAAACAGAGGAAATCTTTGGATAACACGCTGCTAAACTAAACCTGATATTACACTATGTTAACTGTATCATATTGCTCATTAAATTATAACACGTTGCAAGATGTAAATTCGGGTTTTGTATCAAGTTAAAGTTACTTACCTTCTAAGGTAACTGAAACATTCAGCACAGAATATAGAAGTGGTAAAATAAAGCAAAGGCGAGAGGAATGCATCACCCCTAGTCACTGAATGCAGAACTACTTTAAACTTTTAGATTCTGAAAGCCTTTTCACGGTGAACGTAGCACGCTTCAACTTATGTCGATGTTAATTAACTGAGTCTAGTTTCTCCCAAGAAAAACGTCCAGGTGTCTTCTTCTGGGGGCATAAATTCTTAATAATGGAAAAAAAGATAAAAAACTAGAAGAAAAAAAAAGGAAAAATAAACTTCAATTTCCCCCTGGGTATTTGAAGTACTGAAGTTATTATCATGGCAGTTTTGTTGATGCAAGTTGGTGAAAAGCTGTTGTGAGCTAATGAACCTTGTAGAGAAGTTACTCATAATAAACGACCATAGTTTTCAATAAAAAAACCTCATTTTAAATTGCTCCACGCTTTGCTTAAAAATGCCACCCACAATGGATGAAGAGGTAAGTGATTCTTTGTTCAATCCTTATCGCGACTATTTTTAGAGAATCATTTTCCTTGTAGAACACCGCTGCCAAGAGCTTCAAGCGTACGTCAAGGAAACATTACAATTTTAAACTAAATAAGTGAGGATAATTGTGATATAAGGGATAATAACTACATGTTCTATTAAAACAATAAAAAAGGCTTTCCTCTATTGGCCATAACGCTCTAGTGATCAAGGTGGAAACCAAGCAGAATAATGTTATGAAAGGGAAATTCACCAGCCTTTTAAAACAAAAATTCTCTCGTGCTTTTCTAGAGTTAAAACAGTGTTCACTTATCGTTCTACATGTTTTACGAAAATAATCCCAAAAAATATATATATATCACCCCAATCGTCCATAACAACTATCTACCCATCGAGGTGGAAATCGTGGCTAAACGAGGTTATCAAAAATTGTTAAAACGTTCTCGTACTTTTCTAAAGTTGAAAACATTTTCGCTGTTTTAACGCTAATTAGTGGATAAATCGATGTG